AAAAAAAAGAATTATTTTAATTTATTATCATTATTATTTTTAATTTGCTATAGGGAACGTGCACTCACCAGAGGGGGCGGGACGGATAAGAAAGTAAGCCTCCAGGTTCAGACTCGTATAGTGCTCAGCCACATGGGAGTCTAGCACCCCAACCACCATGCCACCTGCTGGTCCCAAGCCTTATTTGTTTATAATAAAACAATAGGAGCTGACAGGTAGCATGGTGATTAAGGTGCTGGATTCCCACATGGCTGACCGCAGTTCGAGTCCTGGACCTGGTGGCTTGCTTTCTCATTTTCCCTTTCCTCTCTCTCTGGTCAAATTAAAAATAAATAAATAAATAAATAAATAAAATTAGATAAGTAATTATTTTTAAAATAATAAAATAAAACAATGGTACCTGAAATCCTAACCTGGCAAAAATTAAATTGAGAGACTAGAGATATTTTTTGAAAATTTTCTGGCCAGTGAAATCCAGGAATCGCTAAAACGGCAGCTCCTCGTATTCAGAACTGATCCATCCTTTCGTGGGCAGAGGATGAAACAGAAATGCAGAGAGGCAGAGGATGTGTTAAGTCGGCACAGCGAGGGCAGGGACACGGCCCGCCCGCGATCTGAGGGAACTTTTATCTGAGCCAGGTGGAGGCTGAATCCTGGCTCTTTCTTCCCACTCACTGTGTGGCCTGGGACAAGTTAGCTTACTCCCCCACATTCGGGATCTTCCTTTACAAGCTGCAGACAATATTCGAATTACCACTGAAGGTTACTTTTGCAGATTACCTGAGGAAACATGAAGGGCCTGGCACACACAGCTTTTATAACTGTTGTCTGTGATCATTATGCTCAACCAGTGGTTCTCAAAGTGTGCTATGCAAACCCCTGAGGGTCCCAGACAGCTCCGCTGAGAAGTGGGGTCCATTTAAAGTACAAAAGAGAAACCAATTAATTCTAATGAAATCTGGTATGAAAGTTCGTTGATCTGCACCTGAAAAGGCCGCGAACTGTATGAGGCCAGCTCTAAGAGGGAGTGGCAAAACTGTGGAGACAGTGGAAAGGCTAGGGGTTACCAGGAGTTTCAGAGGGATGGTAGAGGAGTAAACAGGGCTTTCTAAACAAGTCTTTTTGTTTGTTTTGTCTTTCTAATTTGCAGGAGGGCACATGTCCTCACCAAAGAGAGAGAGAGGGAAAGTGAGAAAGCACTCCTCAGAGGGGATGGCCACATTGTAATCCCTTCTCTGGTCTCTTTTTGAGATTTTGGGCACGCACACACTCATCGATATGTTTTTCAAGTCCCTGGGACTGTCACTCAAACCATACAGTCTGCCATAAGGGTTAGAGACGCCTTAACCACCATACCACCAGGGGTTTGAGTCCTGGCCTTCCCCCCTGGGGGTGATTTCTCGCTTTCTGTCTCTGTCTTTCTCTGTCTTTCTGGCGAGCACATGTGCCCTACAGCAAAAACCTCTCCAAAAAAAAAAAAAAAAAGTGAACTCTAATGTGAACTATGAACTTTAGCCATTAATAATGTATCAATATTGGCTCATCAATTATGAGAAATGTACCATTCTAATGCAAGATGCTAATTTAAGGAAATGGGTTGGGGGAATATATGGAAACTCTCTGTACTTTCCACTCAAATTTTCTGTAAACCTTAAACTGCTCAAAAAAAGCCTGTCAATTTAAAAAAGTTCACTGACATGATTCAGATTCTGTATTGCAATGAAGAAACTGCCACTTTTTGTGCTTTGGTGTGGTATCCAAGAAAAATGACCTGGAGACACTAATAAACAATGATCATCATAAGATCTGCAATTCTTAAAATCATCTTCTCTTTTCCAACTATATAACTGTATGATGCTGGGCTTCTTTATGTACTTCAACTAGCTCAGTATCTCATAAGGGACTGAATACAGAAGCAGACAGGAGAATTCAGTTCTCTTCTATTACGAGATTTCCAAAAATGGGGGCCAGCAGATGACGTAGCAATTATGTCCTGGACTCCCGCATGACCAACCAGGGTTCCAATACCAGACCCGGTGGCTTGAAAATCACACCAGGCACTTGTGCGTGTGTGTGTGTGTGCGTGTGTGCCCATGATCCCTGGTGGAGAATGAAGAAGTGATTGTGGTGTGGCCATCCCCTTTGGGGGACTGATTTCTCACTTTCCCTCTTTAATGTCTCTCTCTTTCTGCCTCTCTCCAGTGAGTGCACAAACCTCTTAAAAAAGAGAGAAAGATTTGCAAAAATATAAAACTTTGTTATTCTTCTTGTTTAATTAGTTTTGTTTTGAAAAGTATAACTATTCTTCATGAAAAGTATTTATGTTAACATACAATAGTCTCTTTATTTTTATTTTAAATGAATTTAAACACATATTTTAATATTTATTAAATGCATATTTTGATTATTATTATTTTTAAATTTGCTATAGAGCATATGCACTTAGCAGAGACAGACAGAAAGAGAGAAGGGATTGTGGCGTGGTTGGCCATGCCCCCTGGGGGGTTGTTTCTCGCTTTCTGTCTCTATGTCTCTCTCTGTCTGTCTGGCGAGCGCACGTGCCCTATAGCAAAAATTTTTTCTTAATCTAAAAATTTTGGGGTGGGGGGGAAGGTAGCATGGTGGTTAAGGTGCTGGTCTCCCACATGGCCAACCAGGTCTGGGACCACCAACAGTGGTCAACAATGTGGAAGTCCAGCACCTTAACCACCATGCCACCTTCTGGCCCCTAGCTTTCCTTCTCCTCCATTCTCCTCTCGGGATCTTGGGCACGCACGCACACGCGCCTGGTGTGAGTTTAAGCCACCAGGTCCAAGACTCAAACCATGGTCGACTACATGGGAGTCCACCGACATAGCCATTATGCCACCTGCTGGTCCCTATTTTTATTCATTTTAATTTGACCAGAGAGAGAGAAGGAAAGTAAAAAACCAAGTCCAGGACTTGGACTGCCGTCGACCATGTGTCAGTCCAGTGCCTTAAACACTACACCACCTGCTGTCCCCCTAGCTTTCATTGTTAATAGGATAAATTTTAATAGATACAGCCCACATTAAAAAATTTGGGGGGGGGAAGGTGGCATGGTGGTTAAGGCGCTGGTCTCCCACATGGCCAACCATGGTTCAAGTCCAGGACCTGGCAGCTTGCTTTCTCTCTCTCTCTTCAAATTGAAAAATAATAAAAAATAAATAAAATTAAATAAATAATTAAAAAAAAACTTTTGGGGGACCAGCAATTAGCATAATGGCTATGTCACTGGACTCCCATGTAGTCGACTGTGGTTCGCGTCCTGGACCCGGTGGGTTTAAACTCAACCCGGGGGCCCGGTGCA